TTTAAAGAAATACATCAAAAATGTCAAAATCAATAACACTATTCCTATTGTATTAATAATGAAAGGATGACAGGCTTTTCAGATTTCTAATAAAGCTGGCCCCAAACTCAAAAGATTTTCTTTTCAAGGGAAGAAATTAATTGAAATGTCCTAGCTGTGATTTCAAATAAAGAATAACAAACAGATCATATGTACAGAGGCATCAATGAAGCAACTGTTTTATCTAGATTTCTGGTTTACAGTAGAGTATAATCACTCTGACATAACTGTAGTCAGAACTATGACTTAATGAAAATATAATTAATAGCAGCTACTATTTCTGCTCTGGTAGCATAGTGGCTAAGACACTTGCCTGCTAACCAGATGGCTGACGGTTCAAACCCACCAGCCACTCCTCGGAAGGAAGGTTGGGCAATCCTACTTCCGTAGTGATACTGCCTCGGAAACCCAAGGAGGGGTCGCTATGAGTCGGGGCCGACTCGACGGCACTTAACAACAACAACAACAACAACTATTTCTGAATACCTGTATACTTCATTTCTTGCAATTTCTTTTAATTGCAAAATAAGTGGGGAAAGGCACATTAAATCAGAGACTTAAATGACTTTTTCAAGCTCATAAAATTAGCAAGAGGTGGAGATGTAGGGCACAGGCTTGGCTAGGTCAGCTCTTGCCACAGTACCCTTGCACTAAATACCACACTACCTATGGATAATATCAAAATTACAGGTTTTGACATCCCACGACTATTTCAAAGATGTGGCTTTGAAGGAAAACATACTGGTGATCATATATTCACATTATATGTATACCAATAAATACTTTCAATGTTGAATGTGATCACTGATAACATTCTAAATAATAATGTTCCTTAATCAAAACTGTTTTTAAACATTAAAGACTGTCAACATTTTCATACATAATAACTGATATTGAAGCTACAATTGCTTCAAACTGAAATGGCTTCTCAAATTTTTTTAAAAGACATTTTCATTAATCTTTTTCACTATTAATAGATGTAATCTTCAAGTATCTTCAGATATGAAGACTGTCTTCTTAGGATTTAATTTCATTATAGAGCTACTAGAAATAATATTCCCTATAGAATGAAGATAAAGGTTATGATGACTATGCAGTAATAGAGATACTAGTAAGTGGGAATCTATAGATGAAGATATAGAGATTAGCTGCCTTCTATTTGGAGGTCATGTTCTTTTTTAAAAGCCTTTTTTTTAAAAAAAAAAAAAAAGCTTAGTCTTAAATATTAAATCCTAGTGTTTAGACACTGTGGATCATGATCAACATCAAGACTATCAGATATTTTTTATGAAGCTGTAAAACAACCAACACCACAACAAAACAATTGTGCTCCTCCTGAGTCAACTCAAATCAGGATATTTAATATTTTGGAAATAAAAATTATGCTGATGAAAAAGGATTTGTAATAGTAAAATATTGTTTTAACTTAAAATTCAAAGTAACAAGAATCAGGTTACACAGAGGCCACATCATTCAACAGTTCTGTGGGTCTACTTCCTGAAAATAAAGAGCTAATGACATTTTATTTTTGACATATGAATATACACTTACTTATGTCACATAATCTATTCTGGAAGGTATCACTCCCACAAACTTAGATTTCCTTAAATTGTTACATATGGGAGAAATTAAAAATACTTTTATGAGGATGGCATTCGAAAGCTTTATCAATAGCCAAATGTGAATATAGACTTAATGCAAATAAATTACTGACCCTTGACTTAATCAAGGAAATATTTCATATTTATTTTAAAGTTAGTATCTCACATTGTGCTGCATTTTTTTCAAAAAAAAAAAAAAAAAAAACTATAGCAATACTTTGCTCTATCAAATCCAAATTGCATTTTCATTCATATATCAAAAAAATGGTTGAATGCCTTTCTTACCGGGCACTACAATTTATACCTACACTGGACTATAATTTTCTCAAGGTATAGTCTTCCTTCAGACTGTATTCCTTCAGCTCCAAATTCTTACAATACTTATTAACACTTTATTTCCTTGTACATAGTAGGTATTCAATAAATTTTTGCTCTGTGAAGTAATAAACAAGGAAAATATTTATATTGATGTCTATAATACAAAACAATTTAGGGGAAGTTTGGGCAACCTACTTCTGTAGTGATACTGCCTCAGAAACCCAAGGAGGGGTCACTATGAGTCGGATCCGACTTGACAGCAGTGAGTTTGGTTTTGGTTTTGGAAGCATAAGAAATCATTCAATTTGGAGGGTTTTTGTTTTGTTTTGTTTTATTTTTTAAAGAAGGAAATAATTAATATTCCATTCAATCTCTTTTCAAATTTAGAACAAGGAACAAAATGTTGTCCTTAATAAATAAAAAAAAAATGTACTTCTACTCTCCTATGTTATAAACAGAAAAAGAAGAGATCTTATAGAATAAAAGAAAAGGTAGACAATTTAAAAGAGGTGGAGAGATTAATGAAGATACTGAGATAAGAGAGCACAGGAAGATAAAGTTACAAAGTCATGGGAACAGAGATGTGTAGTGACAGAAGCAAAGAACCATTGAAATCTTTGGGATAATGGAGACAGGAAATGAACATTCAACTCTGCAGTCAACAAGCAATGTCCCAACTCACAAGGGCTCCCACTCTTCTAGAAGAGTTAGAATTATAGAAAATGTGCTGTTATAATACAGGTTGCATAAATCTCCAGGTGAACTAAAGAAAGAAGCAAATCATTGCCAGGAAGAGCCAAAGAAAGTTTTATATAAATGATGTTTGAGTTGAGTCTTGAAGATTGAAGATAGGAGTTGGACTGGTGTTAAAGGGAGAAATTCAGGCAGAAAATTGATAGTAAAAATATTTGCATGGCTGGAACATAAGATGAATTGTATGACTGTGGAGAATAAAGAGGAGAGAGGTGTATCTTTTGATGCCTGAGCACAACTGATTATCTGCTATGTGTCAGCATAGCACTAAACTAAACTAAAGATAGTGAACCAATTAAATTACAATCTCTTTTGGACATTTTAATGTGCAGCTACAGTTGAGAATCACTGTGATGGATGAGTTAAAGCCTGTGAACCTTCTAAAATGAGTTTGGCCTAGAGTGTGGTTGTTGTTGTTAAGTGTCGCCGAGTTGTTTCCGACTCATAGCGACCCCATGTATGGCAGAACGAAACACTGCCCAATCCCGCGCCAGCCCCACAAACCCTGCTATACTTGATCCCATTATCGCAGCCACCGTGCCAATCCATCTCATTGAAGGCCTCCCCCTCTTTTGGAGTGTGGAGCAAAGGAAAAACATGTGTGTAAATATAAAGATATTGAAGAACTGAGTACTAGGCAAAGGTCTGTGGCAGTATATGTGCATTCAAAGAAAAATAGATGTAGATAGACATACTAAGGAAAAGATTGTTTTTATACTAATATTGAGACTACATGGAATACTTGGGTTAAACTCATATTTAATGGCATAACACAGAGTTATAAATGTGTGCATTACCTATTATATTTGCACCATGGATATAATGATCCCAAGACAAGGGCCTTGGTTGTTTTTTTATCTCTATTTTAAATGCCCTATGACAGTATTGTAGTTAAGTGCTTGGCTGTTAACCAGAAGGTCTGGGTTTGAACCCACCAGCTGCTCCATGGGAGAAAGATGTTGCAGTCTGCTTTTGTAAAGGTTATAGCCTTGGACTTTATGGGGCAGTTCTACTCAAAAGAGTCATTATGAGTTGGAACCTTCTTGACAGCTGTAGGGCATAAAAGTTCAAAAGGAGCCCTGCAGTGTAGTGGTTAAGCACTTGAGTGCTGATGGAAAGGTTGGCAGTTTGAACCCAACAGCTGCTCCACAAGAGAAAGACCTGGCAATTTGCTCCCATGAAGATTATAGCAAAAAAAAAAAAAAAAAAAAAAGCCCATGGGGCAACTCTATTGTGTCACATGGACTCACTATGAGTTAAAATCATATACTATAACAACATTAAACACACACACACACACATATGCATGTTCGCGTGCCTGAATTTCATATAAATTGCTTTATATAGAAGAGAAAAATGATTGGTTTTGATTGAAATGCTGTGAATTTCACCAGTTTATAATTTGGGTGAGGGTGGTATGAACTTGCTTCTTCCTGATAAGTATTTTTTTAAAGAAGGGGTCTCCAATGACCTCAGAAAAGAGCTATTGTCTGTCTTCTAAAGAAAGATTTTTAGTTCATATAGTAAAATGAAATGTAAGTGTGGTTTGTTGTTATTTTAATTGGATGTATTGTTTTAAACCAGCATCTAGTATTTCCTGAAGCATCTAGAATTAGAACAAAGGCACTCAAAAATTTTCAACCTGAGATTCATCTATCACATCCCACTGAAAAATAAAATCATTCCCAACTTTTTGAGGAGTGGAGAGAGAGAATAGTAGTACTTTTCTCTTCCTTCTTTCCTTCTTTCTTCCCTCCATCCCTTCCCTTTTTCCTTCTCTTCCTTTTTCAATTTGAGAAAAAGTTTAAAAGAAGCTCTAATCACAAGGGTAGTTTAGCAGATAAGATATTATCCTAGTTTTAAAGGTGAAGAAATTGAGGTTCAGTGAGGTTAAGTTATTTTCCATATACCACAGCTAGTAAGAATTAGAGTTACGCCAAGACTCTCCTGACTTCCTATTTCTACTCACTACACCTTATTAGAGAACAACTCCCCCCACCACCGAAATAAAAAAAAAAGGTTAGTAAAAAAGTACAAAACCCATAATACTGTTGTCACAATGATATGGCTCTATTGAATAACTTCCTTAGAGATTTGTGTTTCCAATCTGGGAGACAGTCTTGAGATATAAGAGCTGTGATTCCTAGCTTGAGAAACATCTATCTATTTCAGTGTTTTTTTTTAAAAAATATATATTTTTTTCATTAATAGCCCCTTTGAAAATCTGATGAAAGTTATGAATCTTCTCCTCAAAAAATATATATATACACTCATACTGTTTTGCATACTATTTTAAAGGTCCCTTTTTAGAAATATAATCAAGGAAACAAAGGGAACTTCCTAGAAGTAACATATATAATAAGCTTTTTTTTATTATGGGTAAGAAGTTTTTTCTCTAAAGTAGATTTTTTAAGGTGCAAAATTTAAAAGCCCTCACCTAAGTGATATGGAATAAAATGGATAAGATTAAGTTTAGCTTATCAATTAACTTTAGTATTTTTTCAATCTGGTAAACTCTTAAAGAAAATATAGGTACACAAAAACACTTTTAAAATACTAATAGACTTTAAAGGAAAATTAGAATTTCACAATTTTTCTCTTAAATTTACATAATATGATATGTTATAAATGTAAGGCTTTGAGCAGAATATTGTAAAAACTGAGAAACTTAATAGTCCTGACAAAAACAAAAACATAAAGACATTCCACAAAATTTAGATATTTTTTAAATGACATTCACTTTTTATGAAAGAGAAGAGGTTTCACCATCCCTGCCAAAATCTTGGGTAATTGTGCAGCAATAACTTCAGACATCATTTCTGGAAATTCAACACTCAGTGCCCGGGACTGAATAAATGTATTCAAACAGTACAGATGAAGTTGTTTGACAAGCTGTTGGTTTAATGAACACAAAAGAAACAGATAAGAAAAGGAATAAATTCATATGCTATTCAAATATGACATATTTATGATATAAATATGTATCAAGATAGTTTCTTTTCTTCTTACTAGAAAATATCTCCCTCTACTTCCTAGAATAATATGCAAATTACTGCATACCCATTATGGAATATGCTGACACAGAAAGATTTTAAAAAGTGAAAGTTATTCACAATCCCATAAAACAGTCAATGCGAATATTTTGATGTATTTCTTTCAAGGTTTTTTTTTTTTAAATATACACGTAGACAGACATACCCAACTACACACACAATGCATACACACTTATATATACATATATATATATATGTTTTCAAAATGCAATTATTTTATATAAATTCTATTTACTAATCCAGATTTTTCACATAACAATATATTGAGTCTTTTCATGTTAATAAACATAACATAATAAATTTTGAGCATAATTTTTATTTTTATGAAAGTAAATCAAGTATACAATTTTAAAAGTTAAATTGTACTGCAAGATTTATAACAACAAAAACAACAACAGTAACCACTAAAAATCCACGAATTTGCTGATCTGCTTCTTCCCATCCTTATTCCGATTCCTCAGGCACAAGCATGCTCAACTGTTTCAGCCTGTGTCTTTTGCAATTTATCTCTTGATTTCTAATCATTTTATTTTCTCATATTTGACACAACTGATTAAGTTTGTAGTATGAAGACTGAGCTCCTGTATACCTCCTCTCTTCAACTTTTCTCCTTTCCTATTCTCTATATAGTTGTACTTCCATTTTCAACTAATTCAAGATCCAGCATTTACATTATAAAGATTATTATAGGATTCCATTTCCTTTCTTATATGATTGTTTGTAGTTTTCCAGAATATTCTTTATTTTATTGTAAGACATTTCTAGTTCCTGAGAAAGATTGTAATTCGTATTTGAAGTAAATTCTCCAAGACCTTATTAAAATGTCTGAAAACCATCATACTGATTTGATGGTTTGGGTTTCATGGTTTTACTAGGTGTAAAATTCTTTGAAATTTTTTTTCCCCTGTCCCTCATTAGAATTCTGAAATCCCTGCTCTATTGTCTTCCAGCTTCTGTGTTGCTGTTGAGAAGTCCAATGCCATTCTGAATCCTGATCATTTGTATGTGACTTTTTATCATTAGTATTATTTCCTCACTGGTATATTTACGAAATCTGCCTTCATCCCTGGTGTGCTGTAATTTTACAATAATGTGCCTTGGTACTAGCCAAATAGCATCAATTGTGCTGTGTCTGTACACTGGGCCTTTAGGATTAGAAACATATCCTTCAGTACAAGTGACATATCTTTCTCTTTGATAATCTGTATTTTGTTTCTTCTAGAAATTCTTACTAATTGAAGAACAGACCCTCTTCACTGATCTTCTAAGTTTGTCATCTTTTCTCTCCAGTTTTCCATGTCATTATCTTTCCCCCGCCTCCAGGAGTTTCAACTTTATATTTCAATTTTTCTATTGAATTTACAATTTCTGCTCTTCTATAATTAACCAAATATATATATATATATTTTGTTTGTTAAATGGCCCCCACTTTTAATATGTTCTATTCTTATTTCACAAGGAGCTCTCATGGCGTAGTGCCTAAGGCATTTGACTGCTAACCAGAAGGCTGGTGGTTCAAACCCAGCAGCCACTCCAGAGAACTGTGCAATCTACTTCCGCAAAGATTTACCACCTTGGAAACTCAAAGGGGGTCGCTATGAGTCAGAATCGACTCGAAGACAGTGAGTTTGGTTTGAGTTTAGAGTATTCTTATTTCAAAGGCACAGCATCATTTTTATTTCTTGAAGCATCTTAATTTTTTCTTTAAAGCTTTCATCTGTTCTTTGTACTGGTACTTTTATCTTTTGTGTTACTTTTTTCCCTGTTCACTTTGCTTTTTATCTCTTATTTTAGAAGCTTTGTTCAAATGGTTCTGAATATTTTGCTTTTTATTCATATATTTACAAGTAAAGCTTAAGGAGTTGGATATAAGTTGTATATGTGTGTGTTTGTGTACATGCACATGTGTGTGTACGTTGGGGGCAAGAAGGGTGCTGGTCAATGAGTAGGTTTCTCTGTAGGAAGATTAAGTGGCCAGTCAAAATTTTTATTAGAGGAGTCCCTGTCTGAATCTTTAGCCCTTTTTCATTTGGTATGTGTTCCTATTAGAAAATCCTCTGATCTTCTGTCAGGGGTAGGGGGGGTGCCAAAATCCTGACTGTAATTATGCCGGAATCATAGTGGGGAAAAGGCTGAGGTCTGTCAAGTCAATATGAAAATTTTTACCTAGTCCCCTATTTAAATATGGTATCAATGCCACTCTCTGTTGGGTCTAAGGACTCTGAGTTCAGATCCTTTCTGCTGTAGACAGTAAACCTACAGTCTCTGTTGAAACTGGGAAGGGGTAATTGCTTACCTCTGTAGGATGGGGGATGGGGATTTGGGTTGTAACTGCTCATTATGTACTTTCAATAGTCCTCCTCTTTGCAGTCCCTTTTCAATTTTCAAATTTTGGGGGGCTTCTGAATTCTTTTGTTTCTTGTTTGGCTTTTGGGCCCAAGTTTCTGCTTTTTCTATTCTGTTAACACTGTTTTACCACTAGTTAATCTGCTTTCTATTTTCCCAACTCTGTTGATATCTCTTGTCTGCTAACCTTTGTCTTCTTGTTCTTTTTTACTCTAGACAGTTTTCTATGCCTTTATTGTCATTTTAGTGTGGTTTTTGGGCATAGCAGCAACAAAAGTTTCTATTCAATATGCCTTTCTTATAAAAATATATCTTACTTTATTAATCTAGTTTTGGTATTCCGCATTTCTAGGTATTTGTTTTTTTCTCCATTGCAAGTAATGATGTAGTAAATATCCTTACATACTTATCTTAAATATGTACCCAATTATTTATTTATGATAAATATTAAAGAGTAAATACTTGAAAAGCATTCAAATTTTAACTTTTGCTATATACTTCCAGATAGATCCTCAGGAATATTATTAATTTACAATTCCATCCAAAATTATATGAGTATCTTATTTACATAGCCATACCTTTGCTTTTCATGGATATATACAATCTCTTCTAATTTTACCCATTAATATTTGAGAACAAAGTAAAATTCAGGAAAATGTATCAAAATTCCTAATTATAATCATGAAAAATATTCTCAGTTATATAAATACTAATAAAAGGATATTTGGGTGATCTACAAGTAAAAAAAAAGTACAATGTAGATTTGGAGCAGTGTGATACAAATACTCTTTTAATAGACAATTACAAATATGAATTTGAAGGCAGCATGAAATTAAAATTTAGCATTAACATATAAATAGTTTCAGAAATTCACAGAATAATCACTGATATTCTGCATGAGAAAACACTTACGTCATGCAAGTTATCAAGAAGTTTTGTAAGCTGATAGAAACGCTGTGAGCTCGAGACAACTCCTTTTTGTCTCAAACCAATTGCCTTAATGAGTTCTCTAATGTAGCTTGATCTCATCTCTTCAAACTGGTTTTGACTTCTTAGTCCTTCCAAAGGAACTGTAAGAAGACAATTACAAGTGACAGTGATGTTTTAAAATATAACACTATCACAGTTTATGATTAACTTAAAATTGTGAGCTATCCAATGATGATTTCTTTTGATATATAACTCTAAAAAAGTTAAATAGGCAAAAGAGTGCTACTGATAGCATAAGTGCATGTAAATTTCTGGTCAACTGGAGAGAAGAATTTGATTACAAAAAGGTGACCTAAAGAATATTTCAGCTTGCTCATTTTAAAGCTTTATCAGCCAAGGACACTCGGGGCCTGCAAGACTGAAAAGGTATGACATTCTTCTTGTTACTACACCCTATACCTGCTTGGTAAACGGAGGTGTGGCCAGCCCCACTCCCACCTACCTTCTGGGCCCACAGGAACTCCA